TAGTAATAGTATGACCTGTGGCAGTAGCAACTGTAGTACAGTCTGCAGTAATACTATGACCTGTGGTAGTAGCAACTGTCGTACAGTCTGCAGTAATACTATGACCTGTGGTAGTAGCAACTGTAGTACAGTCTGTAGTAATAGTATGACCTGTGGCAGTAGCAACTGTAGTACAGTCTGCAGTAATACTATGACCTGTGGTAGTAGCAACTGTCGTACAGTCTGCAGTAATACTATGACCTGTGGTAGTAGAAACTGTAGTACAGTATGTAGTAATAGTATGGCCTGTGGTAGTAGACACTGTAGTACAGTCTGCAGTAATACTATGACCTGTGGTAGTAGCAACTGTAGTACAGTATGTAGTAATACTATGACCTGTGGTAGTAGACACTGTAGTACAGTCTGCAGTAATACTATGACCTGTGGCAGTAGCAACTGTAGTACAGTCTGTAGTAATAGTATGGCCTGTGGTAGTAGACACTGTAGTACAGTCTGCAGTAATACTGTGACCTGTGACAGTAGCAACTGTAGTACAGTCTGCAGTAATACTGTGACCTGCGGTAGTAGCAACTGTAGTACAGTCTGCAGTAATACTATGACCTGTGGCAGTAGCAACTGTAGCACAGTCTGCAGTAATACCATGACCTGTGGTAGTAGACACTGTAGTACAGTCTGCAGTAATACTATGACCTGTGGTAGTAGAAACTGTAGTACAGTCTGAAGTAATACCATGACCTGTGGCAGTAGCAACTGTAGCACAGTCTGCAGTAATACCATGACCTGTGGTAGTAGACACTGTAGTACAGTCTGCAGTAATACTATGACCTGTGGTAGTAGAAACTGTAGTACAGTCTGAAGTAATACCATGACCTGTGGCAGTAGCAACTGTAGTACAGTCTGCAGTAATACTATGACCTGTGGTAGTAGCAACTGTAGTACAGTCTGCAGTAATACCATGACCTGTGGCAGTAGCAACTGTACTACAGTCTGAAGTAATACCATGACCTGTGGCAGTAGCAACTGTAGTACAGTCTGCAGTAATACTATGACCTGTGGTAGTAGCAACTGTAGTACAGTCTGCAGTAATACTATGACCTGTGGTAGTAGAAACTGTAGTACAGTCTGAAGTAATACCATGACCTGTGGCAGTAGCAACTGTAGTACAGTCTGTAGTAATACCATTACCTCTGGCAGTAGCAACTGTAGTACAGTCTGCAGTAATACCATGACCTGTGGTAGTAGCAACTGTAGTACAGTCTGCAGTAATACCATGACCTGTGGTAGTAGAAACTGTAGTACAGTCTGCAGTAATACTATGACCTGTGGCAGTAGCAACTGTAGTACAGTCTGCAGTAATACCATGACCTGTGGTAGTAGACACTGTAGTACAGTCTGCAGTAATACCATGGCCTGTGGTAGTAGAAACTGTAGTACAGTCTGAAGTAAAACTATGACCTGTGGCAGTAGAAACTGTAGTACAGTCTGATGTAATACTATGACCTGTGGCAGTAGAAACTGTAGTACAGTCTGCAGTAATACCATGACCTGTGGTAGTAGCAACTGTTGTACAGTCTGTAGTAATACTATGACCTGTGGCAGTAGCAACTGTAGGACAGTCTGCAGTAATATTATGACCTGTGGTAGTAGAAACTGTAGTACAGTCTGCAGTGATATTATGACCTGTGGCAGTAGCAACTGTAGTACAGTCTGCAGTAATATTATGACCTGTGGTAATAGACACTGTAGTACAGTCTGCAGTAATACTATGACCTGTGGTAGTAGAAACTGTAGTACAGTCTGCAGTAATACTATGACCTGTGGTAGTAGAAACTGTAGTACAGTCTGCAGTAATACTATGACCTGTGGCAGTAGCAACTGTAGTACAGTCTGCAGTAATACTATGACCTGTGGCAGTAGCAACTGTAGTACAGTCTGCAGTAATACTATGACCTGTGGTAGTAGAAACTGTGGTGCAATGTGCAGTAATACTATGACCTGTGGTAGTAGACACTGTAGTACAGTCTGCAGTAATACCATGACCTGTGGTAGTAGACACTGTAGTACAGTCTGCAGTAATACTATGACATGTGGTAGTAGACACTGTAGTACAGTCTGCAGTAATACTATGACCTGTGGCAGTAGAAACTGTAGTACAGTCTGCAGTAATACCATGACCTGTGGTAGTAGAAACTGTAGTGCAATGTGTAGTAATACTATGACCTGTGGTAGTAGACACTGTAGTACAGTCTGCAGTAATACTATGACCTGTGGTAGTAGAAACTGTAGTACAGTCTGCAGTAATACCATGACCTGTGGTAGTAGAAACTGTAGTGCAATGTGTAGTAATACTATGACCTGTGGTAGTAGACACTGTAGTACAGTCTGCAGTAATACTATGACCTGTGGTAGTAGAAACTGTAGTACAGTCTGCAGTAATACCATGACCTGTGGTAGTAGAAACTGTAGTGCAATGTGTAGTAATACTATGACCTGTGGTAGTAGACACTGTAGTACAGTCTGCAGTAATACTATGACCTGTGGTAGTAGACACTGTAGTACAGTCTGCAGTAATACCATGACCTGTGGTAGTAGAAACTGTAGTACAGTCTGCAGTAATACCATGACCTGTGGTAGTAGAAACTGTAGTACGGTCTGCAGTAATACCATGACCTGTGGTAGTAGAAACTGTAGTGCAGTCTGCAGTAATGCCATGACCGGTGGTAGTAGAAACTGTAGTGCAATGTGCAGTAATACTATGACCTGTGGTAGTAGAAACTGTAGTACAGTCTGCAGTAATACTATGACCTGTGGCAGTAGCAACTGTAGTACAGTCTGCAGTAATACTATGACCTGTGGCAGTAGAAACTGTAGTGCAATGTGTAGTAATACTATGACCTGTGGTAGTAGCAACTGTAGTACAGTCTGCAGTAATACTATGACCTGTGGTAGTAGACACTGTAGTACAGTCTGCAGTAATATTATGACCTGTGGCAGTAGCAACTGTAGTACAGTCTGCAGTAATACTATGACCTGTGGTAGTAGACACTGTAGTACAGTCTGCAGTAATACTATGACCTGTGGTAGTAGCAACTGTAGTACAGTCTGCAGTAATACTATGACCTGTGGTAGTAGACACTGTAGTACAGTCTGCAGTAATATTATGACCTGTGGCAGTAGCAACTGTAGTACAGTCTGTCGTAATACTATGGGATGAAGCACGTGAGCGTTGCTTCACGATGCAATATGACCATAATGACATCTTTATCTCCGCAGTGAGTGAGTGAGTGAGTGGGTTGGTCTGATTTAGTGAGTGAGTGGGTGGGTTGGTAGATAAATGTGTTGGCCCTGGGTTGGGCAGACTGGCGATATGGTGAGTTGTTTTATTGTGAATGAATTTACTTTTATGCAGCTCTCTGGTATGAATATATCTATTGCTTTTTGCAGTGTTCTGCTATAGACCGAAAGATATAATTACCATCTCCCTGATATACCATGATGCATGAGACAATCCACAGTGGTAACGAAATCATTCGTTCCGAGGTGAGGTGAGGCGAGGCGAGGCGAGGCGAGGCGAGGCGAGGCGAGGTGAGGTGAGGTGAGGTGAGGTGAAATTGGATTTAACGTGCTTGAGAATATTTCGCTCATATGACGACGTGCATGCGCGTGTGTGTGTATGTGCGGCTGCTTGTACCAGCCCAGACTGAAGCTGGTTTTATAGTGCTAGCCCACTGAGATACCATGCCGCAGTGAAGCATGGATACCCCACTCAGACACACTATACTGACTCCGAGCCGACCAGTCCTTGTTGTACCCATTAATGTCGAGCGCCAGGCAGGGACCAACAAGTACTATATTTTAACGTCTTTTGGTATGACGCGGTCGGGATCGAACCCGCGACCTTCCGCTCTCCTGTCGTTCCGTAGTATAACACTAATAACAGCAATAGGAATATTCGTTCGTACTGCAAATACTCCAACCACTCAACGGAGTTTGTTTTAGACTCATACTATAATATAAATTCAAAGAAATCACCAGACACCATCTTTGATGTGCAACATTTTATTGGAAGTTTTAGATGCTCTTGGAGGGCTGACCGAGTTTTGACAAAACAAGGTACACGACGACACACTGCCTTATGTTCTGCATCACCAATCAATTACTGACATCACACTGCACAAAAGGAACCTCAACACAAACACTGACCCGTTTCACAAAGTGCTCTTGATAACGTTACGACAGTAGAAAGTCTGTGGTTAAAACACATGTGTAAACCTGAGAAAACCTGTGAAGCGGTACCCATCGAAATTGTACGAATGCATTATGGGTGACAACTAATGTTATTTTAACTAAAGAAACAGAGTTGTTTCCTATCGGTTTCAATGACAATGTCAACCTGCTTTTTAACATTTTGAAGGAAATAGTATTTACACTTTAACTGATATGATACGAACATAGACAATTCATGGATAACATCTTCCTTATTTCGTGAGTGCGACGTTGCGATTCGTGTACCATTGCCAAGCAGTTGTCGAAATAAAGAAGTTGTTTTCCATAGAGTTTGTCTACATTCTACTTCCCAACTTCTAAAATGCCACTCAAAGAAGTGATATATGGGCTGTAGTAGTATTAACTACTGCACAATACCTTTATGGCATCGCTAACGTACAATAGTGTAATGATATCGCTATATGGTGGTGGTCTGTAAATAATCGAGTTTGGACAAGATAAAACGGTAATTAACATCATGATAATCGATCTACACAATATGGATACGATAACATGAGCAGTGTATGAAATAAGCCAAAAAGTCCAGCCAGACATCAGGGCTTGTAACTTGTAAATGTTACCAGCCCAAAATGGATTAAACCAGACCAAATATGGGGAATTTACTCAGATGTATGGAACATCTAAAAAATTTACCAGACCATCGGGCTGGCTAGCTGTAAATGTAGACCGTCCGTCAGAAATCTAGACCGTGTCGGGTGGTCGGACGGGCCTTATTTCATACACTGACATGAGTCATCCAAATTAGCGAGTCTGGCCACCCGATCCCGTTAATCGCCTCTTACAACAAGCATGGGTTGCTGAAGACCAATTCTAACCCGGATCGTCTTGGGTAATAGTGTAATGGTATCGCTCATTTACTGAGGTGCAATGATACCCCTAATTTGCAATAGCGTAACATACAATGTATTCGAAACCGTAATATTACTGATGTACAACTGTGTTATGCCGCTGATTTCGAAATACGTAGTCCTTCTAGTATTGATTTACAACATAGCTATGATATCATTCATTAAAAATGGGATTTTGATAGTACTGATTTACCTAACAGTAAGAACTAACGCTGTAGGATAATTAATGTCCGTTTGTTATATGAACAAACGACCAGTGAGTTCGAAGCACATCAGGTGCTAAGGGAGGAAACTCTGAGAAGAGGATGCTAAGGGAGGCAACTCCGAACAACGGATACTAAGGGCGGTAACTCTACATATCGGACGCTAAGGGAGGCAACTCTGAGCAAGAAAGATACTGCGACAAAGTACGTGATAGATCGATCTGAATAATCTAAGACATTCCGCAATGACATCAGTATCTCCCCTTGCCAACCGGATAGGTACATCAAGAAGGTGCCTCTGAATAAATACCTTCTTTCGCAGTGATGCAGCCATTGTCAAAATCATCGTCTTATGCTCGCGGACCAATCAGTATGTAGTGTTCTAAAATGTCGTGGTAGAAACTTGTCATATAAGCCATTATACAGAATAAAACATATGAAGGTGGGCTATAATTTCAAATAACGTGGTCAGGATGTCTGAAATGGGACAGTTGTGGTGTTTCTCTTACACATCGGTAAATCCTATAACGCGAACCTCATCTTCTTGGCAGCAGTGGTTCCGACTGCCACACCTGTCGAACAATGTAACAGTGATGTCGGGCAAGATGGAGTGGTTGGCCCCACAGAAATCGCCGGGAATGACCAACAGACCACTTATGAATGGCCTGTATTCGCCACACAAAATGCTCAGCGTTCCGTTTAGTTCTTCAGCACGTCTAACATCGGTCGCCGCCGAGAACGTTGTGGTGTTGATGGCGACGCGCTGTATGTTGCAGCAACTGGCGTTGATGACGACGAAGAGGTATATTTGCTGCTGCAGACCGCTCCCACAGTAGGGTGCACATTGGACAGTCCAGGGACGACTCAAGCTGACTTCTGTGGACCAAAGAGGAACGTTAGTGCCAATATGGGGTCAAGGATCATATTATTATATAGATTTGCGTTTCTATGTAAAATAAGGGACCGTTCATAATTTATGGGGAGTGTTACCCATTTTGTTCTGGAGAGGTAGTGGGAGTCATCAATTCTGTACATGAAAATCTGAAAGAAATTAAGCTTAATACATGACATGGGGGGGTGGGGGGTTGTCACTTACTTAGTACAACTTTTAGGGGAGGTCATTCACATTGTTCATGCTTCTCCAACATCATCGAAACCCCAACCCCCAACCCCCAAGCCATACATTATAAACGGTCCCTAAGTACGACCATTGATGGTAGTTTTAAATTACAGAAGAACCTTAAGGCTTGCAGTGTATTTGAGGCTGTGAACATGGTAAATTAATTATAACACTGATATTGCTTTGTAAAACAGGATCCTGCTTCAAAGTACTCCACTGATTAATCCGTTATACCGACCGGAAACCTAAAGACACTCTTTGCAGTGCAGTAGGCATCGCATATAATGCTGCTATAGAGCTCGTAAAAACAATTTTTGTTGGCAATACGAAATTTTCTGTTCGTCTCCACAATTCGTGAGGCTATTTCGTGATGTAAAGATGTGGCCTTACTTGTCAGTCATAGTCTAAGTTGGAACAGTATGTTCGTCTAAAATGTTTGCACCTACAGTTTTTCAACTGGGCTTATAGGGGCGGTGGGGTAGCCTAATGGTTAAAGCGTTGGCTCGTTACGCCGAAGACCCGGGTTCGAATCCCCACATGGGCACAATGTGTGAAGCCCATTTCTGGTGTCCCCCGCCGTGATGTTGCTGGAATATTGCTAAAAGTGGCGTAAAACCAAACTCAGTCAGTCAGTCAGTCAGTCAGTCAACTGGGCTTATATGTTTTTCTTAATGTGCTGGGGGGCGGTGGGGGTAGCCTAGTGGTTAAAGCGTCCGCTCGTCACGACGAAAGCCCGAGTTCGATTCCCCCACATGGGTACAATATGTGAAGCCCATTTCTGGTGTCCTCCGCCGTGATATTGCTGGAATATTGCTAAAAAGCGGCGTAAAACCATACTCACTCACTCACTCACTTAATGTGCTGGGCCCCTTTCACAAAGATCTCGCAGCGCTATGATTATCGTAAGTCAGTGTTACAGCCTAGATGTTCGAAGCTCTCTTAGCGCTAAGATAGTCGTAAGTTAATGTTAATGTATAGCACTTACGACTATCTTAGCGCTAAGATAGCTTCGAAAATCTGAATAGGAGGTACGAATGCTACGAGAAAAGTTACGAGATCTTAGGCGTCCGAGAGGATTGTGAAACGGGGCCATGGCCCTGAAGACTATCAGTTTACTCAGCTTAGATTCAGACGCTGGATCATTTCACACGAGTGAGTAAGTGAGTTTAGTTTTACGCCGCATTCCAGCTATATGGCGGCGGTCTGGACCAGACAATCCAGTGATTAACAGCATGAGCATCGAACTGCGCAATTTGGAACCGATGACATGTGTCAACAAAGTCAGCGAGCCTGACTACCCGATGCCGTTAGTCGCCTGTTACGACAAGCATGGGTTACTGAAGTATTCTAACCCTGACTTTCACGGGTTTCATCTCACAACTGTAGATTATTATGGTTTTACCCCGCTGGAGACAATATTAACGCAAAATCACTAGGTGACGGGGAACACTTTTGCCATGCAGTTAACATACATTTCCACTCACTCCCCTAGTAAGTAATGAATTGGTATACCAAGCCCCGGTGAATTTATATTAAAACTAAAATCTGAAAACTTTGAGCTGAGGGTTCGAAATGCGTTTTTATGATGTCTTCGTAATTTCGATTTTGTTTTCGGTTATTTTAAGTTGAAATATTGCAGCGAACGACGAAAGTCAACTCACTCACTCACTTTAGGAAATAACAGTCTTACCACAATCTGCCGTGGACGTGTCAGCTGGTTGTAAGATCTCGTTGGCCGTCAGACCAGCCACTGCCCGTGGACAATGCAGCGCCTTATTAAACCCTGGAAAGGAAAAAAAATTGTTATCAAATTTGAAATTACATCCTCGAAAATACCAACAAGTGTTTCAAAGCTGACGCTGTGGTGCAAAGACCATGTTTCTCAAACAGTAGTGGAATCTAGTCTCACAGTCCCTTAACTGTATCATTTCCCATTTCACCCAGTCCAAGGAGCGGTGGGGTAGCCTAGTGGTTAAAGCGTTCGCTAGTCTCGCCATAGATCCGGGTTCGATTCCCCAGGTGGGTACAGTTTCGCGGGCATTCTCAAAGAAATCCTGGGAATTGTCTGAGGAAGAGTCCTGGGCCCCGTTTCACAAAGCGATTGTAGCGCTAAGGTGATCGTAACTCCCATACTTCAACATAGACTTACGACAGTCGTAGCGCTAAGGTGATCGTAACTCCCATACTTCAACATAGACTTACGACAGTCGTAGCGCTAAGGTGATCGTAACTCCCATACTTCAACATAGACTTACGACAGTCGTAGCGCTAAGGTGATCGTAAATCCAATACTTCAACATAGACTTACGACAGTCGTAGCGCTAAGGTGATCGTAACTCCCATACTTCAACATAGACTTACGACAGTCGTAGCGTTACGATCGCTTTGTGAACCGGAGCGCTGGGTCCCATTCCTCAAAACGATCGTAGCGCTACGATGATCGTAACTCCCATACTTTAACATAGACTTACGACTGTCGTAGCGCTACGATCGCTTTGAGGAACGGGGCCCTGGACTCTTCCTCAGACAATTCCCGGGATTTCATTGAGAATGCCCGCGAAACTGCGAAAAGTTTTGAAGACTGATATAACTTTGTCTGGCTATTACTGAATATGATCGTAAAATATCACAATATTCAATCTTTCAGTATACTGTGGCGAGGCCTGGTTTCGAACTTGCAACCCTTCGCCAACTGGCTTGGCGGGTTTATCCACTAGGCTACGAAGGATCGCTGTGAAGTGATTGTTTGTCAGTATGAACCATGTGTTCCTCGGGACACGGGTAGCACGTGCAGAGCACCTGCATTACGCGTGCAAGGCAAGGTATCGGCTGCCAGTCGCATCCCAGTTGATTTCAACAGTCAGTGAGTGAGTTCACTTTTACGCCGCACTCAGCAATATTCCAGCTATATGGCGGCGGTCTGTAAATAATCGAGTCTGGCCCAGACAATCCAGTGATCAACATCATGAGCATTGATTTACGCAATTGGGATACGATGACGTGTCAACCAAGTCAGCGAGCCTGACCACCCGATCCCGTTAGTCGCCTCTTACGACAAGCATGGGTTACTGAAGATGAATTCTAATCCGGATCTTCACGGGTTCCACCGTTATGTGAAGTGTTGTTCACACATTGTACAAATATGGGGAATAGAACCCGGGTCTTCGGCGTGACGAGCGAAAGCTATAACCACTAGGTTACCCAACCGCCACTCTCACCTATGGAGCGAGTGAGTATGGTTTTACGCCGCTTTAAGCAATATTCCAGCTATATGACGGTGGGGGACACCAGACATGGGCATTGTACAAATATGGGGAACAGAACCCGGGTCTTCTGCATGACGAGCGAAAGCTTTAACCTGTAGGCTACCCAACCGCCCCTCTCACCTATGGAGTGAGTGAGTATGGTTTTACGCCGCTTTAAGCAATATTCCAACAATATCACGGGGGGGGGCGGCAGATGTGGGCTTCACGCATTGTACAATTATTGGGAACAGAACCCGGGTCTTCTGCATGACGAACGAAAGCTTTAACCACTAGGCTACCCCACCGCCCCTCTCAAAGTCAGAGCATCTGAATATACTTACCCGGTAAGGATCCGAGGACAAGGTGAGTCGGTCCAGTCAGGATCATCGCCACAGTCATCACAAACGCTGGTGCATGTAGTCGTACCATTCTGCTCACACTCGACGGGATGTTCCTGTCTGTGGTTTTATCTTGGAAGAGGACTGGCATATATATACATATGTGTTCAAAAGCATTTTTTTTTCTTTTAACAAGAATCATTTTGGTTTCTAAATTTGATCGTGTCTTAATTATGTCTCGTCACGATACTTCAAAAAACAACTCAGATTGATGTGATGGAAATAGAGGTCATTGCGGTCTTTCTGTGTGATGCGAAGCAATAGGACACCTTAACTGGGTGTAATGGGCGAGGAGGGGCTTTAGATGCGGGAATGATTTAAACACCTACTTTGGACCTTGAGTGGATAAGTTAGGTTATGGCGTTCCGTCTAGCGTCCATGACCGGCGAATGGCTGTTGAGTGATGATATACTTCGTGCCATGTTTCATATATACAGGTCATCATTAATAAAGGGTCAAATGATAGCGCATGTACAGAAAAGTTTCTCAGAAATATTAGAACTAAGAGTGTCATCATAATGTTTATTGTGCTGACGAACGTGACACATCGTGACTTACAGACAAAAAGTCAAACATCAATTGTATAGGCCAACCTCCCAAAATGAAAATGACAAACATGAAGCACTCGGTCATTCAATATCTTGTGTACCCTACTCGCGCGTCCAAGACACAGGTGCACTTTGTTTCTCATTCCTCTTATCAAGTTCATAAAGAAAGCTTGCGGAATCGCATTCCATTCCTCTACTAGAGCTCTGCGGAGTCCTGGGAGATCCACTGGTGCTGGATGACGTGTGTACACACGTCGATCGAGTTCATCCCAGGCATGCTCAATTGGGTTAAGGTCTGGCGAACATGCTGATCACTCCATCAGCTCTACAGACTGCTGCCGAAGGATTTCATTGAGAATCCTGGCCCTATGAGACCTAGCGTTGTCGTCTTGCAGTAAAGAGGGTCGACCATAAAAGCCAGCTTGCAGGAATGGTAATGCTATAGGAGTCAGAATCTCGTCCCGATAACGCTGTCCGGTAAGATTACCGTCGACCACGTGCAGTGGAGTACGTCCAGTAGAAGTTTCCCTACCCAAACCATGACCGACCCCCCGCCAAATCGGTTATGCGTGGTCACAGTTGCATATGTGATTAGCTCTCCACGATAAATCCTCTGCCGACCACCATGGAAGAGCAAACTGAATCTGCTTCCATCTGTGAAGAGCTCACGAGACTATTGACGTTGATTCCAGCGGCCATGATGTCGACACCGTCTCAAACGCGCCTGCCTGTGACGTTGTGTTAGTGGTTGATGAACTGCTGGTCGCCTCCTGCGGAGTCCGGCAGCCCTTAAACGTCGACAAAAGGGTGCTCCTGGATATCCTTACATTGTTAACATTGAAGTGCTCTGTCTGCAGATCTGCTGCGTTAAGGAATCTGTTACGTCATTAACGCAGTGTTCATCATGTGCCTATAATCTCGGACTTTTCCGATTCTGGGGCGACCTGGTCCACGTGCACATTCCATGGGTCCGTCAACGGACCCATTGGCTTGAAATCCCTTAGCTGTCTACCACAATAGAGCGGACAGCAGTTTGCCGCTGAGTTTGACCAGATTCCAAAAGGCCTATCGCCTGTCCCCTTTCAGCAAGTGTGAAAAAACGTCTCATTTTAAGCTGCGATTTCAAACAGGTACCTGAACAGTGAACGACAGAGAAAACGCACCAATGCATGTGTATTTTCCTCCACTTTCCATGGATAAAGCGACTTGCACGTGACATTAAGTGGCAGGTGGTTTTCCGTATTGACAATTTGAATACAAAATGTGCCATTTGTACAGAATTCATTGGACGTGAAATAACGTAATAATGACATTTCTACTGGCCATTAGGTGCCTGACTCGGAGGGTGTGGGTTCGGATATCGGATGGGACTCAACCCCTCCAAAAGTACTAGAATCTGTACTTTACTAAGAAAGTGTAATCCCAAATAGAACATATGTTACAAATAAAACGTTTCCAGTTGAGATATTCTCTAGACTTAAGAACGGAACTAAGACAACTTACTTGAATTTAGTAGCCTAATATCATTGAATTTATATTCAGTTTCCAAGGATAATTTAAAACGTGATATCAACATAAGCGAAAGTCCCTATTAAAAAAACATATTCGAAAGTGACTGGTTTATAGTTAAATTACTTTTTTCACTGAAGAAATATAAGAATACATGTACTTAAGTAACTTATCGAATGCGATACTACCGATCATCAGGCATACAATCTTTCAAAACAGACCGTACGTCAGCATGTTAGACCGTCTCGACGGCGGTTATTAAAACACATATAGAACACATCATGTTTATGTAACTAACTTATGATTATAGGGATTTATATAGCGCACATATCCACGCAACTAGTGCATGCTCAAGGCGCTGGTATTTTTACCTTGATCATTGGATGTCAATCTCAACGGCACATCGTATTATCAAACTCAACTCCCTTGGGAGCATACAACTCTTGCAGCCACTAGGCGGCTTTCACATCCTTACGAGGTACCCATTCACAGCTGGGTGGACTTGGACACATAGTCACAGTACTTTGTCCCAAGTTCACTGCACGTTACTGTACCTGCAAATAGGTGTTTGCACGTATTCATGTGGCCACCATCTGATCATATACCAACGGATTCGTGGGTTCTTTTAAGTGCAGAGGGTTGTGTACTGTACACTAGGGGTTGTGACAACACTGAGTCTGCTCACAAAGTTGACTCTAAGGGTCGTTACACCCGGTCACAGGTTGGCTCGATCCCGACACCTCAACTTCGCTGGATCACTAGCCTGGCGCCTAGGCAGCTCACCCACCATGCCCCAACTTCTGCTGGTAAATTTAATTTAATCAATATTCAAATTTGATAAATATTCTGTTTTCAAAAATATATGTTTGGACAGCTGTGATACAGCGGTAGACAACTTATTCTCTAAATTTGACAGTCGATCGTTTTTCTGTGAGACACGTAAAAGTATTGTTGCGGTTACATACCTGAAATCATGTAATAAACTATTAAGGGTTGTGTATCTCTGAAGGTCGGTAGACACGGCGTTCCGTTGTCATTAAGGGGGAACCTTGTAACCCTGCAACAAATGCTTGTACCAGTGAAGATCCGGGTCAGAATTGGTCTTCAGCAACCCACTCAGCAATATTCCAGCTATATGGCGGGGGTCTGTAAATAATCGAGTCTGGATCAGACAATCCAGTGATTAACACCTTGAGCATCGATCTACACAACCGAGAGACGATGACATGTGTCAACCAAGTCAGCGAGCCTGACGCCTCTTACGACAAATATGAGTTGCCGATGACCAAATGTAACCCGGATCTTCCCACTTGAAGAGTGACTGAGTAAGTGAGTGAGTGAGTCATGTAGGATGAGTGAGTGACTTACAGTTTGTGACAATGTCTACAGAAATGGTAATATCACTGCTTTACGCCA